CCTGCCATCACCGGAAGTGACAGAAGGCCACACCCCCTGACATCACCGGAAGTGTGTCAGAAGGCCCGGCTACTTACCCTCCTGCTTCATCCTCATTCCCAAACGGAATGAGGATCGAAGCAGAGGGCGGGGTAAAGAAGGGGGCGGGGCTTCACCACGTGACCGCCCCGCCCCCTAGAGGTTCTCTTCCGGAGCTCCGTACCTGAGAGCTCCCCCCCGACTAGAGCCCTGCTAATACTAACCTACTTTACAGGAATCCTGGAAGGATTAGTGAAAATGCAGAGGCAGCATTTTGAATAGTCTAAGGTATAGTTTAGTAGTTGTTACTCTAAATGAGCTTGGGGGATCCTTGGCTTGTGCTCCTACAGCACATAGAATTGCACCTAAAAATGCATTCTTATGAGTTAAAAAGTGTAGGTATATGAGGGAAAGAAGGGCAGAACCATTTCCTCTCTATTCCTGGGGTTCTGCTCCTTTGCAGTTAATTAACTTCTATATGGAAGATCTTCAGATTCAGTCCTCAGGACTGAAAAGGGATCAAATCCTAAATAGGACAAAGGGCACAGATAAGCTGCATTTTTGCTTTTTTCATAAGTAAGAGGGCACCTGTATTATATTTTTAAAACATGTAAGGGAGTAATCATTGAATGGTAATAAATGTACATCTGTATAATATGTGAATGGATAAGTGCCAGTTTTTACAAAATATCGTCAGTATACATTAAGATTGGAACCTTTCTGCTACCTGAGAATGAGGTATCAGTTGAATGAAGGCATGTGATTAAGGAGTTAACATAGATGTTAAATAAGAAGGGAGCCAAAAGGCAACCTTGTCTGACTCCTTTTTGTACTGGAATACTTTTCGATAGTTTCCCATCTTGTGTGAGCCTTATTTGGATGTCATTATTTTCGTGGAGTTTAATTAATAGAAGCAATAGCCTTCTATCAATACCCATTTCAGCCAATTTGGCCCAAAGCCTTCCCCTAGAAATAGAGTCAAAGGCCACCTTGAGGTCCACGAAGGCCACATGATTAGAAAAGATAAAAGTATTAGAGGAACAACAATACGTGGAGAAGAATATAAAGTACAGGCCTTTGCAGACAATTTAGCTTTTATTTTAGAAGATCCCACCACTTCTATAGACAGTTTGATGAAGAACTTAATGGAATTTTGGTGAGATGGCGAACAGACAAAAGACAAAGATTATTGCAAAGAATATAACACAACCTATGATAAAAGAGCTGTTTGAGCAGCATTTCAATCAGAGCAAGGAGTAAAATACTTAGGTATTGCCTTGACAATTAAATGTAGCTCTTTGATGGAAGATAATTATATGAAACTATTTAAAGAAATCCAAAAAAATGTAGATAAATGGAACAACTTTCAGTTATCATTTATGGGAAGAATAGCTGCAACTAAAATGAATATCCTTCCTAGGCTTATTTTTCTTTTTCAAACTATCCCAATTTTACAGAAGCAATCATACTTCCAGGAACTGAACAAAATAACAGTGAAATATATATGGCAAGGGAAGAAACCGAGAATAAAATTGAAGGCACTATAGGACTTTAAACAGAATGCAGGCTTTGGTCTTCCAGACTGGGGAACATATTATAAAGCCTGTGCATTGACATGGATTAAAGAATGGATAAGAACGGAAAATACTAGACTTCTAAAATTGTAGGGACAAGATTTAAAGCTGGGATGGCATACCTATCTTTGGTATCAAAAAGCGGACAATCACAAATATTTTAAAAGTCATTTGGTGAGGAAAGCACTGCTGTTAATATGGGAAAGAATCAGACATAAAATATATGTGAAGATCCCAAAATGGGATGGAAGCATTTATTCAACCTATAGTAGCTAGATATGAAGATTAATTAGGAAAGAAAGATAGGTTGAAGTCCAAAGAAGAATTAGAGGAACAAGATAAATATTTGGATTGGTGGACAAGAGTACAGTTAGAATCTAGATATGCTAAAGGTAAACCTCAGGGTTTTGATGCAGAACAATCAGTGTTTGATACACTTTTATATGAAACAAATGATAAATTAATTAAGAAGTTTTATGTGTATTTGTTACAGATAAAGATGGAGGATGAGGTGATTAAAGAATGTATGATAAAATAGGGCCAAAATTTTGGCTATAATATTGATCTTGATCATTGGTTGCAGATATGGAAAACAAATGTTAAAATAACTAAATTGGTTGCTTTTAAAGATAATTTATATAAAATGTTCTCTAGGTGGCATACAACGCCAGAGAAATTAGCTGGAATGTACCCTGGAATGTCTGACAAATGCTGGAAATGTAACGGGTGGGAAGCTTTTTTCATGTTTGGTGGAAGTGTAAAGAGGTGATGTTATATTGGAGAAGGGTTCATGAAATGTTACAAAAAATATGTTTGATATCGTTACCATTTAAACCTGAAATGTTTTTGCTTAATATTATGCCTGATGTAAAAGATAAGAAGGTTAAGCACTTAATTATACATATAGTTATGGCAGCAAGGATTCTTTATGGTAAGTACTGGAAGAAATCAGAGATACTAACGGAAAATGAAGTTTTGACAAAAAAAAATTGAAATAGCAGGAATTGACATATTGTCAGACTTATTAAAAGTCCAAAGCAAACAAAATGTGAGAGACAATTGGATACCATTCTATGACTAGGTATAAAGAAACTTCAAAGACCAGGAGTAATGAATACAACTATTATAGACTTAGAGAAACTCTAACTTGAACTGTAAAGAATCTGACTTTTTTCAGGAATCACAGTAGAAGGCGAATTGATTAAGTGTTACTAGTTTTAGTAATTATAGAAACGAAAGAGATCTGGAAACAAAGAATTAAGATGGAAAATTTGTAACAGCTTTTATATAAACTTGATGGAATTCCCTGTGATATCTTATCCCATCCCCTGTACCCCTCTGCTCTATAATGTGTTAAAACTAAATAAAAATTTATAATAAAAAAGAAGAATCCCTCCTCCCTCCCTCCCTCTCTCTGAAGAAGTGTGCTTACACACAAAAGCTTATACCTGGAATAAAACATTGGTCTTAAACCTGCCATGGGACTACAACTTTGTTCTTGTTCGTTCTCTCGCTCTCTCTTTACTCCCCCTATTTTCCTCCCCAAAAGAGGAGCAGCCGCCCTGGAGAAGGAAGCAGAAGCTGTGTGTGTGTCTGTGAGTGAGAGAGAGGGGCTTGTCTCCATATCTCTCCTGCAGGAAGCAGCCTACAGAGCTCTGTTTGTATGTGGTGTGTGTGCGTATGTGCACACGTGTGTGAGAGAAAGAGAGAGTGAGGGGGGAGGGAGGCAAGAGACAGGAAAAAGGAAGCAGGAAGCAAAAAGCCACTGAGGGAGCTGGGGGAAAAGCAAGCTATAGTGCAGCTGCAACAGCAGCCCTGGAAAAGAAGCTGAAAGAAGTTGCTTGGGGGCCAGATTTGAGCTCTACATGGGCTGGATATGGCCCGCGGGGGCGCATGTTTGACACCCCTGACCTAACCCATTATGAACCTTCTTGGCCATTATGGTCATTTTTGAAGGCCCTGCTTTGAGTGCCCCAGCCTTCTGAGATTAGGTATGTGGCAACCCAGGATAGGGCCTTCTTAGTCATAGCACCAAAGCTTTGGAACAGACTCCCCAGGGAGATTAATTTGTCTCCTTCTGTTACCATCTTCTGTCAGCAGGTGAAGTCTTTTTTGTTTCATTTGTCATTCCCTCAATGATCCCACCTTCCTGACCAATGTTTTGTGTTCTGTATGTATTTTAACTCTTTTGTATGTACTTTAACTATTTTTAACTCAAGCTGTTTTAATGAGGTATGTTTGAGGGGGGGTTAACGGTTTTATAATGTATTTTAGCATGTATGTTTTGAATTGTTAGCTGCCTTGGTGGCCCTTGTAAGGGTAAAAAGGCGGGGTATAAATTTTGTAAAACAAATTTATATCCTGCTTTTCTCACTACAAGGGGGATTGAAGGTAGCATACATAAAAAGAACTGAACAAATGTATGTATAGTCCCAACAACAAAATTTAAAATCATATTCAATTAAATAGCAATAGCAATATGCTGTGTTTATAAATCAGAGTTTTAAAAACCCCTTTTCAGAAAAATGTCTTAACAGAAACTGTTAACTTCTCTGAAATATTCTCCTGAACAATACTGCTTTGGGACATGTAATGAAAATTGCCAAGGTTATTGTCTTCATTTATTCAGACAAAGGTATTCCAACAAGGAAGAACAACTATTGAAAAGGCCCATAATCATGCTGATGCATCAACACTGAAGATTTTCTTGTTCACAACAAAATATAGTTTGTTTCTTCAATTAATCTGCAAACTATAGTTTATTTCTTCTTCAAAACCAGTTTCCAAACCATGGTTTAATCCATTTGAAATGATGGTTTGTAGGCAAGAAACAAATCATAGTTTGTGGTTCACATGTAATGGCTAATTATGGTTTGATGTGAACCAGAAAGCATCACAAGGGAGAGAGGGAGCGCGTGAGCCCAAGGATTACCAAGGCTCATTCTCATAACACCAAATCATAGTGCAAACTGAGCTAGGTTGTGGTGAATCATAGCTTCTCAGAAGAAAAAGGAGATTCCAAGAAATGTTTTAATTAAACAAAAGATAGGTCCCATTTCAGCATCCCTCCTCTTCTTGCTCCAAATGGAGTTACTAACATACTTCTAATTCCTGCAATGGTGTCACAATATTTTTATGCTGGTTTTCTTTAAACCTTTACCTGTGTATATGATAGTGTATCCTTCGTTCTTGTGTCAATATCTTACCTGATACAGCAGTACATTTAAAAGATATGCATCTTAGATGGTCCCCTACATTTGTTTTGAGACTGCCAAGCAACATAGGAAACAGCCTGAGAATGGATGTATTCTTGTAGACAATCCTGCCTAATAACTAACGGCAGGTAAAATGGAAGGCCGCATATATTAAAGTTTCTCATAACTGGCATTATTTTGTGTTCTTTTACAGACATTAATGAATGTCAACTGCAAGGGGTGTGCCCTAATGGTGAGTGTTTGAATACCATGGGCAGCTATAGGTGTACCTGCAAACCAGGATTTGTGCCAGATCACACCCTTTCCAGATGCATCCGTAAGTAAAAAAAATAACCATCAGTTAACTATCAGCTCAACTCCCCTCCCTTGCAGTTTGCAAGAGATTGAAGTATATTGTGATTAAAAAATGGCTTACATTCTGTCAAATTGTGGGAATTTTAAATTCAGTGTTGAATGTGGTCTCTGTGATTTAACTACAATTTTACATCATGATTATGTGACACAGTATTCAAAAAGGGTAGCTCCTATGAGACATGAGAAAAAGAAATTTATTTCATCATATATCCTAATACAGCATTGGCAAATGTTCAGTGATGTTTCTTCAGCTTGTTTCTGGTTGAACAAGATGAATATTTTCTCTTCTTGCAGTGCGATTCTATGCAGAATTATGCCCTTCTAAATCCATAGACCTCAATGGGCTTAGAAGGTTGTAACTCTCTGGTTGTGCATCTCATGCTGACCATCATTTTAAATGTATTTGTTTATTTTAAAAGTTTATAGCTCACAAAATTTTTTTTTGAGATGGCTAACTTCAAGGTTAAATTAATCATCATTAAAACAGATTATGACTGCATTTTAATTGTTGATTACTTTAAATGAAAAGTGACATCATAAACTTGATCTAATATATCCCTAACAACTGTCTATGAGTGACAGTCGGTAATCAACAAGTTAATAAAATTAAATTGTCAGTGAAACAGCTCAAGGGGGGGTATCAATGAACTGCCTATATCAGCTAAGAAGTTATGTTGTGCTATTTTCAAAATTAAAATAGCAAAGCACCAGGTGTCTGTCTGCATGGAAGTAGTTTCACAGTTTAGCTTCTGCTGTGGAGAAGACCCTATCTCTAATGGCTACCCATGTCATCTCTGAAGGGGGGGAGGGATGGTGACACAAAGCAGGGCCTCCACAGAAGATCTTAGTTGACAGGCAGGCTCATAACAGGAGTAACTTGTACTTTAAGTAGCCTGGTTCCAGACAGTTCAGGGCATCAAGGGTAATAACCATCACTTTGAACTGTGGCCAGAAGCCAGCAACCAGTGTAGTTCTTTCAGCACTTGTGAGATTTGTTCCCAGCAGTCTATGATGGTCAGCAATATTATTGCTGCAACTTGGCTCAGCCGAATTGTCTTCAGAGACACATCCATGCAGAGTACAATTGCAGTAGTCCAGTTTGGATGTAATCAGACAATGGGTAACTGTGGTCAAATCATCCATTTACAAAAGGCCAGAACTGGTGCACTTGAAGCTTGAAGCATGACCACTATTGCCATTAAACATGAAAAAGAGAAAGCTCAGAATTTTCTGAAATGTGTAGAAATTTGAAAGCTACCAGACACATGGAGCATATTAGGGCATAAGGAGATGCAGTGGTGTCCTGGGGTTAACTTCAGGGATGCACCTCAATCTTGTAGTGTTCAGAAAAGCTGTTTCAGAGCACCACAAGGGGCTCCTGAAGGGGCTCCTGCCTTCCCCCCTGCCCCAAAACACTGCTGGAGGTGTGTATTGGCAAATAACCCTCTGGTGCCATTTGGGGTCAGAAAACCAGCATGGGGGAACAGGAGTCTCTTCTCCCCCCATGTCCTGACCAATATGATCAGAATTTTTCATGGGATGGAAAATAGTCTCTAAAGAATCTGCCTCACTGATTCATTAGATTGTTTGTTCTTGATAGAGAGTTGTAAATAAGAATGGCATTGAGCAAAAATGAAAATAAGATCAAGTTGCCCAACCTTCCAAAAATGTAATTATTATATGCTAAAGAATACAAGACTCTAAAATGGATTGCTGATGGTAAAAGCAGCAGCAATATCAAGATTTTGACTAATAAGAAGATAGTACTTCTAGGCCATTTAAGGGCATTTTCTCAGTGTATATTGCCCATTGGCAACAGTGTAAGACAATTGCCATCTGGTTTTCAACAGCAGTCAAATAAGGTTTTCAGTCCGCATTATACTAACACTTTGGAGGACCCATGAATGTTTTGATTCATCTGTCTCCATTTTTTTCTCTCCTGTTGTTGTATGGTTGAGCATGCATTATTGTTGTTGTTGTTAAAAAAATGCCATGCCCCAAAGAGCTCAGGGTGGTGAATATCATCATAGAACATACAACACGTTAAAATACAATAAATAATAGATAATTAATAGCAAATGAAATCAATTATACATCCTCCAGATAGTCAGTGGCATACATAAGATTCTACTCCCTCCATCGGGCAGATCGTAGATTGGGCTTGGTAAAGGCCATGGCAAAGGCCATGATAAGAGACCGTTGCTTCCTCAACCATAGGCCTGTTGGAACATTTCTGATTTACACGCCCTGCGGAACTGAACTAGGTCCCACAGGGCACGGATGTGTTTAGGCAGAGAGTTCCACCAGGCCAGGGCAAGGGCCAAAAAGGCCCTGGCTCTAGTGGAGGACAGCCGGATGTCTTTTGGGCCGGGGATCACCAGCAGATTTTGATCTCCCAAGTGTAAAGCTCTTTGGGGGACATAACTGGGAGAGGCAGTCCCACAGATACGTTGGTCCCAAACGATTAAGGACTTTGAAGGTCAGGACCAAAACCTTGTTCAGTTTGCATTCTTTTCCAGTGCTCACTTCTACAATATCTTGGACAGAGGGCTGAAATATATGGAGATAATTGTTTAATTTATTTGAAACCAGGTCGAAGTTTTCAAACCATCAGGGTGTACATGGCTCCATTATTCTACTTCATACTCTCATGTTTTTCTATTAGTACAGTGGTTTCTTTTTACAGCCTGGGTTACAATCAAGTGGTGGCCACAATTTTTAATCCTAACACCTAAGTACCAAAATTCTCACATGGTAACATATGAAGATTCTACCCAACAACTCCCCCCAAATCTGTTTTTCCTTTAATTTTCTCAGAAAACTATTCCAAAATTACTTATTCTGGAACCCAAGAGATTACAACGCCATTTTCTTCTTAGATTCTCTTCCCAGTTTCCCTGGTTCCCAGGGCAAAGAACTGGTAGAGATGATCAGCCAAGTGTTGTTGTTTCTTTACTGTATGTTTGTACATACACATTAATTTTAATCTTAGTCAGTTCCCTTTAATTGCTCCAGTAGCTGTACATGAACAGTAAAAGTGCAGTTAGGATAACCTGTTTCCCGTTGTTTCAGACTGCAGTTGGGGTGGATGAAAGGGCTTATTTTATTGCAAACGTTTTCTGTTGCAAAATAATGGGTCATGATAACACTAGTAGTAATAACAATTGTTTTATGTTTGAGCAATCCTGGATTCCAGAGAAGCAAAACTTCATTATTTCTGGGCTTGTTTTACATTTGTAAACTTTTAAAAGAATGTTAAGCATATTCTGTCACATGGAAGAAAGAAGCTATCAACAATAATTTCTTTATTTTCTAAATATGAATATAATAGCATATGGGATAAATCTACCAGCCACTGCTGTTGTACAACCTTCGTTAATTTAAAATAAAAGATTATCTTGAGTTTTGTGGGGAATTGGGATCTGAGTGATGGCAAGCACCTTCCAGTTAAGAACTTGCTGGTCATGCAGAATTGTGTGTTGCTCTATGGCATGCAGCCCAGCAAAGCTGTACGGTGACCTCTTGGTGCTGTTGGCAACATTCTTGTTTTGTAGACGTACAACAAAAACAGGAGTTTTATGAAGCACTTTGAGGTCTGCCGTACATGGCTGGCGAGCTATGTCTAGCTTATGCATGACAAGTTGTATAGGTCTGATGTAAGACATTATCATACACGGTTTGAACTTTGGCATTCCCGCTGGCAACTCACATCCTTAAAATTGTTTCTCTTCTTTTTGACATAATTGAAACTTCCCGATCTGTCAAGTCTCCCCCCCCCAAAAAAACAACACCTACTATAGCAAATATATCTTGACCACATATTATCTCTGTGCTATATTTTATTATGAGCTATAATCACAAAATATTCTGTTAATCCAAATATTTCAGATTTTCAATAGGATATTTAGCCCCATGAATTTGAGAAGGCTGTGGAAGAGAAGGAACAGTGGGCAAGGGAAGAATGATAACACTACCAGATGATATATTTTGAAGTATCTTTCCCATTCAAGCAGCTTTTCCCCCGTTGTATACTGTGACTTTATTGAAACCACACAAAGTTGTCAGCGAGTATTAAAGAGTATAGTTTTCTTATTGACTTCAAAAGGACAGTTTGCTTGTCAACTCAAAAGTGTCCATTTTGCTGTTCCATATATTTACGAAGTGTCATAATTTGAGTGTTGGAAGTGAGTGTGTGGTATGTCAGTGTTCTGTATTTTTGCTGTTCACCGGCTTTAAGCTTCTGCTTCAATGCTTTTGCATGGGAAAGAAGGCTGTCTTCTAATTCTGTGTTGTTGTTGAAGCATGGCAGCCTCTAATTTGGACATTGGCTTTTATATCTAAAAATATGGGCTTATCTTCTCTTGTGTCGTATTAGTTTGCCTTCAGAAATAATTCATGATTGGTATGAGGTATTTCTCCCCAGATGTCAGCATCTTTGTCTCTCTATGATGATATATATCCATTTGATCCTTTTTAAAATCTGGTGGTGGAAATCCTATGGTATTTCTCTGTTTTGTTTGTCATGTAAACTCTAGCATCCTCCTTCCCTTTTTGCTGCAGTTGATAATCCCATGGTCACTGAAGAGAAAGGGCCCTGCTACCGGTTTGTCAGTGCAGGAAAGCAGTGTATGCACCCTCTCTCTGTTCAGCTCAGCAAGCAGCTCTGCTGTTGCAGTGTTGGCAAGGCCTGGGGCCCCCACTGTGAGAAATGTCCCCTTCCAGGAACAGGTAAGAGGTTCCCAGAAAAAGCATATACTTGCACTGACGTGCAGTATACACTACATATAGCATAGCTTAATGTTCACAGAATGGTTTCCTACAGTATAGTGTTACACTTTACTGGTTCTTAATACATTTTTTTTAAAAAATCAGTTGCTTGAACAGACATATTCAAGGTCTGACTTTCTCTGCTATGCAGGCACAAGTTTTCAAACGATGTTGAATTCCCCACTCTTTGCATGATGTTTCTTAATGCATGCTTCACATCACATGATGGATAGGGATAAACTGAAAAGTACAAACCACTGTTTTGTTTAAAAACTGAAAACTGTACACTTTTGCAGATAAGATCAGGCAGTACCGTTCCATGATCTTGTCTCTATTCACAGTGGCAGAGTGAAATCATGCCTCCCTGCTTACCGTGCTTGTCCCTTTTCAGGTACTCCCAGACCTCTATGCATGGGTGTTGTGTTTTGATAGGAGACACATACATAAAATACAGTACACGTAGGATAGGATCCAATGGCCAGCAAGTTCTCCTCATGGAACAGATCTTTCCCTCCCTCTGCACTGCTCAAAAACTGTTTTTGAGTCCAAGAGGACCCTTGGAAGCAGTATGGGATGCAAGGCAAAGGCTACAGTTCAAATGGAAATCTGTCCAAATGACAGAGACCCCCCCACACACTCCCTTTGCATAAGCCTTCCATTTGTACAAGTGGACTTTTGCGCTTAGTACCTAGATGCAAATTGTATCAGACTGTAAGTGAAATATTGATCACTTTGTTCAGCCCTATATGTGTTGGATTTTGATTTCAAATGCTGTGTCCACTAGTTAACAGCTGTCTTGAAAGCGGAACAGCTACAGGAAAATACAATGTTACTCCTACATTAGGGTCGCCAAGTCTATTTATCTTGGTGGCGGGGGAGCCTCGCCGGGCTCCGGGAGCCAAAGGTGGACGTGCGTGGAAGTGACGTGCAACGTCGAACACGTTGAGGGCATGGCCCCGATTGGGGCCACGCCCCCAACGTGATCGACGTGGTTGCGTCACCTCTGGTGACGCAGCCATGCTGCGCTTCGGGGGGCGGAGTTCCCCCCGGGGCCTGATTTCGTGGCGGCGGAAATAGGGCCTCCAAAGCGGGGGTTTACCCGCCCCCCGCCCCCCACTTGGCAACCCTATCCTACATGCAGGGACAAGATTACAGTGTGCATTATCTGATTCAATCCTGCGGGAGGCAGCCTGATATGCAGAAGAGGTCATAGGGCAGCTTGAAAGGGGACAGAAGCATGGATTAGGTTCAGCAAATCAGAAATATGGAGTGAGATATTGAAACAACAACAATTGGTATCTGATGTATGGAACTCAAATTGCCACCTGTCTATTTTTAAGATGGCCAATACAGCAGTATCCAGCTGCAGTTCTAACTTTGGCTTCCGGGCTAACAGTTTGAAATTGTATTCATTTAAATATGCAAAGGGACAATACTGTTGTTTTTTACTGTCTGGATGAAGGGGACTGGCAAAGACAAAATCCATATGTCTTTTCCCCTGAGGAGAGAGAAATAGCTGGGTGGAGATTTGAGGGGGGGGGAGGAAAGGGGTTAAGCATTTGTTCCATGTTTGGCCTTCCTTTACTTTTGATTGTAGCCCCCATAGCCCCCATCCAGCAGCAGCATGGTGGGGGTGTTTAAATGTTAGAAGGAAAATATGCAGAAGTTCATGAAATATGTGCTTTGTCCCTAAGTTGTGTATCAAAGATCCTGAGAACTAATAAGAATTTAGTAAGATCTACACATGATCTCTTGAAAGATAAAACAGAATCAGTAGACTATATTGAGTATATATTTTATCTACTACTACTTTATTTCATGAAACCTGTAGTGCTAGTGAACTCTTATCTTTTGTACTATGATGAGAACAGCCAAATGCACATGAAAACTAATACTATTTGAATTTTAAAATACGCTGTCCCGTTTTGATTCTGCAAGCCAACATTACTGTTGTAACATTTAAGACCCTGGATGAAGTAGATTATTCTGAAGTGAAAGTTTTTTCTGTGGACAACAAATTAAACCCTTTAAATAAGTTGTACTGTAGAATGCACACATATTTTGTGATTTTGGTTGACTTCAGACTAGATAATTATAAAAAATGTTCTTGATGTCAGCGTTTATGTGCGAGAGAGTTTCTTCATGATATTTTCCAATGTGTCAAAATTTTTGTTCTGTTAGACTCTTAAAGGAATGTTTTCCCATCCCAAATCTAGCTGCTTTTAAGGAAATCTGCCCTGGTGGAATGGGCTATACGGTTTCTGGCTCTCACAGAAACAAGCTATACCATCACCCTGCAGTTAGAGTTCAGCCACCTCTCAATGGCAAGACCCAGATTACTCAACATGTTGCTAAAGGTACTTCTCCTCCACCTCTCCCAGCAAAGGAAGAGCCAGTGGAGGCACTGACCATCTCACAGAAAAGTGAGCCCGAGGTGGCTGTGCGAGAAGGTGAGAGTGGACAGGGATTTCATCATGTCAGTTTAGTATGTCTGTGTATCTGTGCATGTATTTTTACCCCCTGTGGTTCTTACTGTGTAAAGTCTGTATATGAAATATGAAATATTTGAAGGTTTGCACAACGTATTTGATTGCATCATATATTATGGGAACTGATTTTCAGATTTTAGAACGTTGGTTTTGTTTGTTGTGTAAAGAATCCTGCCCCTAGGGCAAGGAACTGCACCAGATGCGTAGCACCATGCAAGAATCTCTTCTGTCTTTAATATGTTTACCTCAGAGTAAGTCTTAATTTGATCCTGTTTTTATGACTCATGCAGAAGCAGAATCTTATTCGAATCCTATTGAATATTGAGATTCTTTTAAATATGACAAAAACATTCACCATCTCAGTTCTTACATGAAGCAATTCTAAATGTCGGTTTAATAGTTTTGTGTCTCACTTTGCATGATTTCTGCAAATGCCTCTAAAATTGGCTGCTTCAAAATGTCCTGTTTTAACATGCTTAGCATCAATGCAACAGCAAGGAAAAGCAGAAGGCTTGCCGCATGTGCAAAAAATAAATGCATTGCCAACACGCTACTGGTGAACAGACGATAGGCAGCTATAATACTGGTGGCTGTGTGGAGTGTTGTGATTCTTGTTTTAAAAGTTTTCATTGTAGAGTAGCCTGTGTGGGGGGGACAGTAGAAGGGAAGTGTCTGTGGATGGGGTTCAAAAGAGCCTAATAGAAAACATACTAACAAAAAAATTGATCCTTGGAGTATCAAATCCATGGAACTGCTTTCAAAACTTCCTTACTATTCTACAAGCCATTTTCTAGATTTATGGTTTTGAATTGGAATGTCATACCTGCACATCCCAGGTTTCATTGTGAAGGACTGAGGTAAACTTCTGAGTTTGGATGATACATTCTAAGGCTTAGTTATATTTCAAAATGTAAATTTTCTTAAGCAGAGATTTATCTTTGGTGATCTTTGATAGCAAAGACGGCTTGGGGAAACTTCATGTATGACTGCGCAAGAATGATAGGTTAGTCTGGTTGAAATCAGTAATGACTTTACCATGCATACCTTCTTTGTGTTTTACTTGATTCACAGTCTATATAAACTATTTCATTTTGAGCTGAAATACTCATGTTCAGATTCTAAATTAACTATGATTGCCCACATTTATTTTCAAATCAGCATGAAGTTAAGTTTTAAGTTTTAATAGAGTAAAGCACATAAATAACTGTAAGATAAATACCTATTGCGTGTCTTGCTTAAGAATTTCACTGAATGATACTTTTAAGTCATGAAATTAGGCCAGCCTGGGGAAAAAGTGGATGCTGGATCTAGCTTTGGGCTGGAAGATAATTTCATAGCTAATCCATATGACACTTAGCACCAATTACAACCTGCTTCATGATTAAGCAGTACTTTAATTATTCCATCACGTGCCTAGATTGATATTTAGTTTGTAATGAGATTTGTGGAATGTGTATCTCATTGCAAGCTAAAAATCAGTCTGGTCATGTGATGGATCAATGATAATTTAGGTTGCATATTCTGTTTAATGCTCACTAAAGTTATACAATGATGACCAGAAAGGACCTCCATGTGATAGCCTCCAGTGTAGAGAGCAGCTTCTTATTTGAAGATCTGCTATAGATGTACCTTGTACATTCTGCCAGAACCTTTACTGTTTGGACAAGGCAAAAGGATGCATCTAGAAATGCAATTTAGACCTAATTTTAGGTAGCCAAAGATTAGTTCTGACCATATTGAAATTTTTGATCTGAATGTTGGAAGCTGTGTTTTTAATGGTATTTTTACTAAAACAAAGTAGATGTTTAAAACATGGAAGGCATTTAATGGTCTAAAAAAGTAAGAGAAAAAATAGATTTTGCTGTATATACCCAGGCCAGTAAATAACTGGGTTACTTAGAGGAGAAATAGTCCTTGCTTAATGAGATAGTAGATGACTTAGAAAAGTGGGGGAGGAAAATGGGTATAAATATCTAAATAAGTAGATTTTGCATGAACTTCAGCAAACAAAACAACTAGATGAAGAAAAGGGGATTTTTCTTTTGAACATAGTTTCTTGAATCATACTGTTTGAAAACTTGCAATAATGCAAATGATTGTTGATTCAATAAAAATAGTTTCGCAACTATGCATTTCTCATTCAAAACACAATGATATGCCAATATCCCTTGGCCACACTCTCTAGCTCATTTCAAAATTTTGGATTGAATCCTATGAACTGTCAGCCCAGTACTTGTGGATGCAGGTCTTTCCCACCTAGCCCTTCCCCCAGCAGTCCCCCAGCTAGGGTAGTGGCAGTCTCATGGACAAAATACTATGGGGCATAGGGGAGGAATAGGGTGAAACTTAACTCTCTGTTTGGCTAATACAAGAGGCTTCATTGGTGGAAGAAGGAAATGGGGGGGGTAGTTTTACACAATTTTCCATCCTTACCACAGCCCTTGTTGCTCAGATTAAAACAGAAATTTGTGTTTAGTTTGAATTCCCTAGTTTAATGTCACAGGGACAGAGTGCTCAAATTATTTTAGAAAGCAAAAAAAACCTCCTGTTTTTTGTATACTTCTCCTTTTTACACTAGTTAATTCCCTTTCTTTTCTTTTCTTTTCCTTTCTTTCTGGTTATAGTGGGAACTACAGACCCAGATCAGGTAAAACAAAAACTGCATACAGTTTTGCATATTTATAAAAAGAAAATGAACTTGAGATCTACATGAAAATTATGGAAAGACATTAGTTATCCTTTGACGCTATAGTATTTTAAACTCACTGGTTAATGTACATATTGGTGAGTATATTTGGGTATTTGATTTTTTTCAAATATAAAAAAACCCATTAATAGAAAAATGTATCAATCATGTCATCACTGTTTGGTGGACCCAATTTAGCATTCCCATTCAGCAGTTCTTCATCAGATGTATAACTAAATTCAGTAGCAAAAAATATCATATAACTGTGAAATTAAGGCTTCATACTAGGACAGTAGGACAACCAAAAGGTCAGAGAAATACAGTATTCAGTGGTTCTATCCTGTCAGTGGCCGTGGATTGTTAAAAGTCATATAAATAATTAAGTGCTTGGGCAATATACTTAAAGTTCACAAAAGCCAAATTATATTAGAAAGATATGAAGTTTTATTTTTACAGTTATTCATGTAATAGGGCATGGTTAAAATTCCACATTGGCCACTGATGATAAAAGTTTGCCTTTCTCATCTTTTGGCATTTAAATTAATATGATTATAAGAATCCCCCTAATGGAGAAGAACAAGGATCCCTCTCTACCAACATCATGTTCCAGCTGTTCCCTGCCAGGTGCTTTAGGGGAATACATGACTAGGGCATAGTCAATCAACCTTCCTCATATTTCCCAGCAACTGCTATTCAAAGGCATATGCCCTTAATACATAGAAGTGCCATTTAGCTGTCATAGCTTATAGCAGTTGATTGTCCACTGAGCAAATGGCTGTCACTATAAACTGAGAGCCAGTTTGGTGTAGTGGTTAAGTGTGCGGACTCAAATCTGGGAGAACCGGGTTTGATTCCCCACTCCTCCACTTGCACCTGCTGATGTGACCTTGGGTCAGTCACAAGCTCTGGCACAGCTGTCTTTGAAAAAGAGCAGTTTGTGTCAGAGTTCTCTCAGCCCCACCCACCTCACAGGGTGTCTGTTGTAGGGAGGGGAAGGGAAAGGAGTTTGTAAACCGCTCTGAGACTCCAAGTGAAGGGCGGGGTATAAATACAATCTGTTCTCTTCTTCTATATCTTGTGGTAGTAAGTTTTATAAATTAAGTGCATGTTGAGTGAAATATTTTTTCCTCCATCCACTAAAACGAACCAATATCACTGAGTTGATCTCCTTATTCTAGTACTGTGTCAGAGAAAGGGAGAAGAAAGTTTTCTTCATTTTCTCTAAACGCTTCATGAGGAGCATATTAGAGACACATACTCCTTTTGCCCCTTCTATCCTCTCATGCAAAAATTCCTGTCTGCTGTTTTTTTGTTTGATTTTTGTTTTTGGAGTTGGCCATGGTACATTGTGTGTTCCCATGCTAATACTAACCAGGGTTTGTAAACCAGCTTCTAAATCCCATTGCATTTTTTGATTTCGAGCGAATGATGATTAACATTACTGCAGGTATAATTCTGTGTGATAGTGCTTAAAAGACAAGGAAGAATAGAAGAGTAGAAAGACAAGGAAGAATAGAAGAGTAGAAATAATACACATAAAAAGGGAAGGGAAGGGATGCTTGCTTCTAATGTCTTATTTGTTGAAAAGATATTAAGATTAATATGTCTGAACTGCCCCTAAATAAAAAAAATTCATTCTGCTACAGATGCTTTCAGTTATTTTTAGCAGCTTTTCCCCATACCTATATTTAATTTTGACTCCTTGTTCACCTTTCCTAAGAGAATGCAAATCACTTTGAAATGCAGAGATACTTCACCTACTGATCAGCATCCAAAGACAGCATACCTCTATGCCATAATCATAAACTAGTGTTGAATTCCTCTCCATTTTAAAACCTCTGCTATGTCTTAGTGGGCTGAAGCCAGTTCACAAAACTTCAGGCTCCTCTTTAGAACACAGAGTCACTTGAAATAGTTCTTTGTATTCTGGCCATTGTGAAATAGAACATGAAGAATAAACAGTGTAGATTTAGAATTGGTACCATGCACCATGACCTGACCTGGATAGCCCAGGCTAGCCAGATCCTGTCAGATCCCAGAAGCTAAGAAGGGTTGGCCTGGTTAGTATTTGGATGGGAGACCACCAAAGGAGTCCAGGGTTGCGATGCACAGGCAGGCAAGCCACCTGTGAACGTCTCTTGCCTTGAAAACCCCATGAGGTCGTCATAAGTCAGCTGTGACTTGACAGCAAAAACGAAACAAAAATGCGCCATAGGAAAAGTCCATTAAAACCATTCTTTCATTTTCTGTTTAAAATGCAGATTCCTCTTTAAAACTACTTAAGTCTCCATCAGTTCAACAGGATATTTCTAAAGCAAGTCATTGTGCCAGTAATGTGTTTAAGTATGCTAAAGTGGTCTGTAGAGACACAACCCATAAATTGCTCTACCAGAGTGACATGAATTTTCCCTCACCTGCATCCATGCTAGTACAAGTGGTCCAATTGTCCAAAAATCATAGGCATAACTGAGAGCTTAATATAGCCCATAGGTTATACTGCTACTTCTGCCAGTGCATTCTTCCTGGGGAGGTTTTGGAACTAGTCAGACAGTAACACAACTTCCTGCAAAAGTGCTGGGCAGATCATCAGAAATAGAGTTTTGGAAGACATTATTCGTATGGTTGCCATTGGTCAGAAGTGACGTGACAGCACTTAACGCACACACATCTCATGATGGGTCTTCTTCTTACTGCTGCTTTCAACTTTTCCTATCATTATTGTCTTTTCCAGTGAGTCTTGCTTTACATAATGTGACCAAATTATGATAGCCTCCGTTTGGTCATTTCAGTTTCTAGGGAGAGTTCATTGAGGTTCACATTACTTACTAAATTAACTGTGAGCTGTGTTCCCTCTAAGCTGCATTATTGTGAGCTAGCTCACAGTTTTTTAGCCTCCAGCTCACCCATTTTGGTCTTAGCTCAGGAGGGATGGCTCCAGAGCCAAATCGTGCACTCACCACTTTAATGCCAGCAGCTCACAAAGTAGAGGGAACATTGACTGTGAGTGCGGTCACACGTGCCAGATAACGCGGGGGGGGGGGGGGCTATTTGCTCCATAGTAATTTGACCCGCCACTGTGTGATCAGACGCAACGGCGGGTGAATTGGTTTTTTTCTTTGCTGCGTGTTTCCGGTGCGCTTCAACGAGGGATCACTGACACAATGGGAGTGTGCTGGAGCGATCACACGGGGAAGTCCATCCATGGCCCGTCACAAACCTGTTTGATACTGCACTTTCCCCGGTATTTTTTAACTCCACTTCTTCGGTGGAGCGAAATGGGTTGCTGACGAGTGTGGGATGCTTGCCAAATGTTCCCGTGTGATCGCGGCCTTAAAATCCGCCTGGCATTCATGCCTGTCGCACGACTAATTCTGCGTGTGATCAGGACCTGTGAGATCTTTCTGATCTAATCACTTGAAATTCTCAGACTTCACTTTGACTGCCCTTCGTGTCTGTCCTGCACAGTTAAACAAGCCGAATTTTCCCTGTGGTTGCAATTCTCCACAGTCATGTGAAGTAAATCCCTTAAAATAAGGAAACTCTGATTTTTAAAACCCAGTGACTGAAATGGGTCTTAAATGAAGCAAACTTTATGCTGTATTTCACCCATAACATATAGTTCTAGTCAATGACAGTGCCACAGACCTGGTCTATAAAAGATTTTCTGGTTTCACTGAATCCGGGTACGTTGAAATGAGAAGTACCTGTGCAAAGATAATCCTTTCTAAATTACAGCTATATGTGCATGTGACTCTATGTGTTATATAGCCTATACAGAAGGTATCCTTTACAAAATAAACGGCTATGCGATACTTTGTTCACGTGGGCTGCTGCTAAATGGAAAGAAAAAAACACAGTGAGAGCTATAATGCTAAACTGCGCTTATTTTTGTTAATATGTAATAACTATGGAAGCAGCAATTTTTTTAGGCAACCCTTCTCCCTCCAAAATTTAGGGCTATTTACATTAAAATCACATAATTAATTTTTAACCGTTCTTTTAGGAATTAGTTTCACTTGATGACCAAGAAAAGCCTATAATACAGCCTGGCCAACCTCAGCTTTCTCCTGGGATTTCAACCATTAACCTGCAGCCACAGTTTCCAGGTAGCTCTTTTTGACTCCTCCTTTAGTGGATGAGAACCCTTGAAAATAAGAAAAGGAATTATCAAATAATCACATATTGTCTATATTCTTTTCCTTTTTAGATTTTCCCCGTCTATTATAACGTTTTAGATTCAAAATAAAGAGCGTCACCCAGCAAAATTTTACTCCTTTGGGTGACCCTTGCATGCATTAGTCCCTGTGAAATCAGCCAGATCTTGGTATCTCCTACCCATGATTAGAAAATCAGGAACATGATTTGTGTACTTCCTTCCACTTCTCTCATCCACATGAATTCTGGTTAGCATTAGCTGTGGTGGAGCCTTATGTCTGTAGCAATGCTAATCACGGTTATCATTAACCATGATTAGTTTTTAAACCAAGGTTTGAAACCATAGCTAGAATTTGGCTTTCAAACTTCATTTATTGAATTGCCTTTGAACTTCTCTTGGTTAGCTTTGAAGCTAGATTAAAAACTGGTGTGCAAACCATGATTAATGCTGATGGAGATGTAATGCCACAGTAACACTGATCAGGGAAGCAGAAGGGAATTTGTGTAGGCAAAGGGAGTAAATGAGAAATGTGAGCATGGTTACTTCTTACCACCCCTTTGGCTAAAACTGGATCTGCACCTGGTTTAAGAAGGGAAATGTCCTTAATCTAATAAAAACACAGCACAGTACAGTTTGCAATTCTCTGCTTAACCCAACTGTAACTATAATAACCTTGCAGTGTTATTAATTTAACTGTAATTTTCACTGTGCAAAATACGTAGTGCATTATTCCTCTGCGTCTTACATTATGACTTTATACTGTGGAATTTCTACTAGACCAACCAGTAGGAGTGTTATATATCATGGGGGGCAAATCACATAATTACTCTTTCTTATCCTGTAAATTGATGGTTCTTTTCATATTATTGGTGAAATTCTTATTTTCTTTTTTTAAACCTTGTATGCAGCATAGAAAAGCACATTCCTGGATAGTATATGAGTGGTTTTTTTTGGGGGGGGGGTTAGTGAGTAAGTGTTTGGGGAGAATTTTCTTTTATATCTAGACCTTCTTTCAAGAAACATTGCCTGAGGGGTGTTGCAGAATGAAGAATGGGGAAAGATATACAGCTACAGTGTTCACACAAGAGCTTTAGTGTGCCCAGGGAGCTTTGGATTGTGGCATACAGGACAAACTGTCAAGAACAATTAATCAATTGACTCAATGGAGGTTGTGCAGCAGCTGTGCCTGGTTGATTATGCTTATAGATTCTGTGTATAGAAGCAGAGGAAGAAAGTGCCAGTGCCTGGGTGAGCGCTAGTTAAGAAGTAGATTGAAATGAAATGGTGAATGACTGAAAAGTCCTTATGGCATATTTGCAGAGTGATACTAATTTAGGTACCCAACTATGAAGAGGGGAGAATGATCAAAACTGTTATCTGTTCGACATCATGACAAACTGTGATTAAACTGAGGTTAGGCACAAATACTTTGTTGCCATACTCACCTGCTTCCTTTGCTCTTCTCTTCGCCTGCTCAGCTAGATTCAAACCAGGGGTTGCTCAAATTCCAGTTTGCCATGATGTTGAATGCAGGCATCTCAATGTATTGGTTAACCCTGGTTTAATCCCAGGTTGTGGAGAGTGAGCAAGTTCTCATTTGTTGAGGCTTCTGTTTTCAGACATCCTGGCAAACTGGAGCATCATCAAGCCAGGAAGTTTGGAATCAAACTCTCTGTGCGAAGGGAAGTGGGAGGAATGAGAGGGGCAAACAAAGACAGCAGCAAACTGAGTTTGTGCCCAATTTCAGATAGAATGCAGCTTGCCATGGTGGCTGAATGCAGCGTAAATCCCACTACCTCCTTCAGTAGGGCCTTCAAGATGGACTATACATGCTTCATTGGCTTTATACAAGATTTGTTTCATAGATCTGTGCCATAGTGATAGACGTTTTGTGATATAGTGACAAAAGGATTAAATGGTTGGTAAATGTTCAGAATCAAGATAGTGCTGCCACGTGTATACTTTTAGCAAGTATACATTATGAATATGTTCCATACCTGGCAAGATTTATGAAGTGATCACATGTCTTTTTATAATATAATGTTCATAATAATAATAATGGGGGGCACAACTAGTAGCAACCAAAGTAACATGTGCAATTGCTTCAGAATCACAGCTTTAGCAGGTACACAATGAAGATCTGTAACATGTACCTGCTAAAAACATAATGTGGTGCAATCCTTTGTTATCCATTGGTGATTAATTCAGTAGGCCATGTTTGTGTAAATTGTGTTCTTTCTTCTTTCACACAGTAGTAGTTGAAAAAACCTCTCCTCCTGTCCCTGTTGAAGTTGGCCCTGATGTCTCTACTTCAAGTGCTAGTCAAGTAATAGCACCAACTCAGGTTACAGGTATGATGCATGTTTTCCATGCAGGAATTGCTGGAGGTATAACTGGGTATATTTTCCAAACTGCTATTAGAGTATCAAATTGGAAAGGTGGAGTGGCAGGGTCCAATAAAATAGTGAGCCAAAATTAAGGCAGGAAGGCAGAATGATATGTTAAGTGGTTTGTTTTCACATTGTCAGGATGCAGTGTAATCTCTCGTTTTGTGTGTATAAAATGCCCAGTGGTGTCAAACTGACAAGATGTGTCCAAATACTTTCTGCATTCACTTAGATGAACTATTTAGTGTAAATTTGTAGATAAATTTATGAGTTCACATACCATGGCTCAGCTGCAGTTTTCTATATACACATTAGGGCAGTTTACAGGCCCACTTTACACTCCCAACACAGGATTGCTAATATACCCTCCAAAAGAGCAGCTGCTTTGTAGAGTATAATTAGCATAAATTATGTGGGCAGACACATGCTTGAACGTGGCAGATACATGTCTCTGTATGCATATGGGAAACTGGACACATGTTACTATAAATAACATGTAAAAGCAGATCTCTTCACATGCATATTTTAAACATAAACTTCACAAAGGCATAGAAAGTGAACATGTGCCTGTACTCATTCCGTAGTAAACTCTTGAGAAATGCCGATGATTTATAAAGGGTCTAATTGGATTCTCCTGAAGTAACTGATTTGAAGATTGTTTATGAACCCTGACCAATAATGTCAAATTTTGAAAGACTGGTATGTAAGTGTTGCTATCTGGAGAACTTGAATTTTAAATGCCGTTTTTATCAAATGAATATGTGTAATTCCATTACCGTCTGTATGGTCTTTGAGGACATAGTCTGAGGGGCTTTCTTCCTGGCTGTAGAATTCCTATCCTCCAAAGATCCATCAATGCCCAAACATCTTGCAGAAGTAAATAAGACCATCTCATTTGGTGCATAGTTACCACAGTCTAAGCCCATTGAGATAACAGGTCTAGACTGAAAGACAACCTCTCCCTGCACATCCATTTTATTTATCCTCCCAGTGTCTCCTCACTTCCTTTCCCATGGGGAATTTCTCATGGTGGCTACCTATTCCAGGGCTTCTTTTCTCAATGCTTCTAAAGGGGCTACCAATGGAGGTAAGGCATATCTCCTTTTTAGCAGTTTGTAGGAGAGCTTTTAAGGCAGATTCATTTCAAAGAACTTTCTATTAATTTTATTTTGAGGAGTCAGTTGAGTATTGCTAATTTCATATTTGTGAAATGATATATGTGGTTTTAGAGCTGTCACTAGTAGTGGTGACTTTTGGGATTTATTGTCTGTACCTGTGCCCCTTGAGCCCACACTTGTGGGAAGCATGGTCTAGATATCTTTTAAGCAGACAGAGAATATAATGATTGTGAATGAGGAGGAAGTTCTGTTTCTGAAAGTGGTATAAACCCAAATAATGTCGTGTGAAACAGTAAAACTAAATTAATCCCAATATATTCTGACTAATTAGTGGATTACTGTCCATTTTAAAGCCACTACATACATCATGTTTTCAATGGTATGTTTACATATTTGCATTGTATAGTTTCTCTAACTATAATAAATTAGCTAAATATATGTAGAACCAGAGGTCATTTGGGGCCGGAGCGCACCGGAGCACTGGTCCGGCAGCCCAGGAGCTGGCATAAATGGCAGTGGCGGCAAGCCCCGCAACCAGCTCCCCGCCCCGAGCGCTGTGGCCTGGGGGAGGCCTGAAGAGGCCCGTTGCTGGCCTCCCAGGGCCCACGCTGGAGCGCTGCGGCCCGGGGGAGGCCTGAAGAGGCCCGTCACCGGCCTCCTGGGGCCCGTGCTGGAGCACTGTGGCCTGGAGGAGGCCAGAAGAGGCCCCACCACTACCTCCCCCAGGCTAGCGCCGGAGCGCTGCAGCCTGGAGAAGGCCAGAAGAGGCCCACCCGCCACCTCCCCGGGCCAGCGCCGGAGTGGCCCGTCGCCTGTTTCCCAGGGCCCGCACTGGAGCGCTGCAGCCTGGGGAAGACCTTGATCGCGGTAAGTGAGGGATTCACGGGGGTTGGGTGGTGGGGACTTGATGGGAGGGTAGGAGAGCCTTCCTCCCTCTCCCCATCTCTTTTCCCTCTTTCTTTCCCTGCTTTCCTTCTTTCCTTTCCTTTTCTTTCTCTCTTTCC